AAAAAGTTGTTAAACATTTAGAAACTTCAGTAGTCTTTGTGATAGCTAATTTAAAATAATGGACATGCTTTTAAAGAATTTGGGAATGGAAAATGCAGCATAGTAATACCACTGAGTTATTTTCATTCCCTTTTAATTGAGTCACCCCAAAAGACATTATTATCAGAAATTTTTGTGATGATCATCAGGTAGCAGTGTAATTTTACAAAAACTAAAATTTTAGTTTTTGTTAGAGACAAACATTTACCAGATACCCTTGGTATGGAAAAACATCCTTGACCACCACCCCATTTTATCCTTTTATCCATAGTTATGATTTGTTTTTCCATACCAGTGTTTGTTTGTTTCAGTAGTTTGATCTGCACAACCTCAGGGAAATTCGAGTCTTGCTTACATAATTTTGTTTTTCCTATTGATTACATAATCGTTCATATTTTATTTTTAGTTTTTTTGTGAATTTTTACATGAAATTTCTTCAGGTATGATGACATTTTTATATAGACAACTTTGTATGGGGGTGTTACATGTTGAAGTGATAGAATATATGACTGTTATTCTTACAAAAGAGTGGGGGTTTTTAAACATTGTTTGGAAAATATAAAAAAGGTATAAATAATCCATAACAGCTTCCTGTCTACTAGAGAATTGGTATTTTTTTTCACATCCCCTTTGCAATCTTTTTAAATAAAACATCAGGATGGTAGAAGGCCCCTTTGACTACTATCCATAGCTCATTCTGTCTGGGATGTCCCCCTCCATTCCAGAGGTATCCATTATTATGACTTAAGGTATTTTTCCAGTTCTTTGTTATTAAACCTGTAAACATTTTATTAGGGAAATGGTTATATGCAAGAAATAAGAAGGGGCCCTCGAGGCAGGAAGCCTGGAGATTGCAATGCAGGACTGATCCAATGAAAGAGAGTGAGGAAGGTTGAGGGGAAGCTTCCAGGATGGCTCTGCTCTAAGGGAGGCCTGGCAGTGTCTCTCCTGGGAGCACTCCATGGGCAACTAGGAGAAAAGAACAGGACAAAGGTCCTTTGCAAGACCCAGTGGGATTGGTGGGTAGAGTCCTTGAATTTGATATCTGGAGGCACATTCTCATGTCTACCACTGAGGCCAAGGAATACTAAATGACACGTTACCATCCTGAAAATGGGAATTAAGCGAATGTTTTAATGCCCGAAACTCTCTTGCTCCCCTGCTCCCACGGCATTGAGTTCCATTCCTATAATCACAGTTGTCCAGGTTCCATCTCTAAGCAGGATGCTGGAGGAACTTCTTGAAGAATTGACACTGGGGGCTCTCAGATCCCCTTGTGAAAGTCAGTCAGCAAGGTCCCCCCCATATATTCTGAATTACCAGTCGTCTAGTTGTCTCTTTTTACCCTGTCACCATTCCTTATACGCCTTTGACCCTTTCTCTCTTTCTCTGCCTTTTAACTTCCTTTTGTTGATTAGTGTCCCACTAGTTTTTTTTAAGTATTTTGCTTAGTTGAAACATCCACTATGTAACATCCACTAATATCTTTGTCACTCAGACTTGCTTTACTAGGTGTAATTTCCTTAAAATCCTTCTGTTTTGATGTAAATAACATTTCATCCTTTTTTTAAAATTGAGGATTAATGTTGGTTTGCATCATTGCTTATATTTGGAGTGGGGTAGAGGGTCTCCCTGCTTTATGAGTTATTATCATTGTGTGCCCTCCACCAACATTTCATCTCTCTTATGGCTGAATAGCATTCCCTTGTGTGTGGATAACCACATCTTCTTGATCCAGTCCTCTATCAGTGAGCACATAGATTGCTTCCATGTCTTAGCTATTGCAAAGGTGCAATAAACATTATAGAGAATATAGTTCTTTTGAGTTAACAGTTTTGTGTTCTTTAGATAAATGCCCAACTGTGGGATTGCTGGATCAAACAGTATTTTCATTTTTAAGGTCAATCCAGATCACTCTTCAAAATGGCTGTTAACAGTCTACATTCTCACCAACAGTGTAAAAGGGCTCTAGTTTCTCTGCATCCTCTCCAGGTCTTTAATATGTGCTATTCTCGTGGGTGTGAGAGGGCTGCTCATTGTGATTTTCACACTGCGTTTCCCATATTATTGAAAGTGAGGATGAACAGTTTTCATGTCTCTATTGACCTGGATATCGTCTTTGGTGAATTGTCTGTTCAGATCTTCTGCCCATTTATTAGTTGGGTTGTTTAGTTTTTGTTTTTTTTTTTTCCTTATTGTTAAAGTTATATAAGTGCTGGGCCTTCCTGGTGGCACAGGGGTTAGTCTTAGCTCTATCAAGCTATAGCCAGTCACTGCTACCTGAGTTCAATCCCCACTCAGGGAGTAGACCCACATGGCACAGCAGACCTTTCCTGTTTACCTCTGCTGCTTTCAGCAGTGCATTTCAGTAGATCTGTCTGTTCTGCTCCCCACTCTGTTTCCGGTGAATCCTCTCACCCCTCAGCACCTCTGGCCTATACTCCAGTTCTTGTATGCATAAATAAATAAATCTTTTTTAAAAATTGTATTTAAATGCTTTATATATCTTGGATATTAACTTTGTTGCTTGTAATAATGCTTAAATATTTTCTCATGTTCAGTACGATGTCCTTTTAATCTACTTATATTTGCTTTCACTGTTGGTTCATTTTTAAACTCTTAACATATGTACTTTTAACATGCATCCTTGGTGAATTTTTAAGTTTGAATGACATACATACCATATTGTATAATAGGATATTTACAGTCTGCCTTTTCCTATCTGTTTAAAAAATGATTTTGAAATGCATTTACATTGTATAGAGATTTAGCCTTTAGTATTCAATCATATAAATATTGAACATTTTATGCATCTATTATCGAATACCTGAACATGTCAATTGCATTTGATTTTTTGTCCTGTTGTACAGTGCTGTAATGAACATTTCCTGTGAGTCTTGAGTATGTGTAGAGAATATATAGGGTTTTTAGACCTAGAAGTCACACATGTATGTGCTCAGTTTAGTTAAATACTGTCAAACTACACCCCTTATTGGTTGAAACAGTTGCCAACTCCTATCATCAGTGTTTATTTTTCAAATTTGATAGGTGAAAATACTTTGGTGTTCTGGTGTATGTTTTCTTGATTCTGGTGAGTCTGAGTACCTTCTTATGTTTTTTGGTCAGTTTGAGTTATTCTGTGAATAACTTGGTCAGTTTCAGTTATTCTATGAATTTCCTGTTCAAGCATTTATCCTTTTTCCTTTTGCAGTAACATTTCCTTATTAATTTTTAAGGGTTCTTCGTTTATTCTGAATGTTGATCCTTCATTTCTATATACATTACTAATATCTTCCTCTGATATTTATTGTTTTCAACTTGTGTCCATTGCCACTTTATAAATCTTGATATAATTAAATGATTGGTTTTCCATGTTTAGTTTTATGGTCATGTGGTTCATGATTGCAGGGTCATCTTTAAGAATTCTTCCCTAACTTGAGGTCATAAAGATATCCATTTATATTTTCTTTTAATAGCTTTAAAACTATTTTTTCTTAGTTCTTTGGGTTGAATATGACAGTGATCTAAACTTTTTTTAAAGATTTATTTATTTTTGCATAGAAGAACTGGGGTATAGGCCAGAGGTGGGGGCAGTGAGTGAGAGGATTCACCAGAGACAGATTGGGGAGCAGAACAGGCAGATCTGTTGAAATACACTGCTGAGGGGAGCAGCGGGTGAGACAAAAGAGGTCTGTTGATTCACATGGGTTAGCTCCCTGGCCAGGGATCAAACTCATGCTGTAGTGGCTGGTCATAGCTTAATAGCACTGTACCAGGAGGGAGGCCCATGATCTAAACTTTTTTCCCTCCAGTGAAAAGTCTATCCTTTGTAGTTTGGAATAGCAAAGCTGCATTGCTATAGACTAATAGATACTCTATGGTATAACTATGACAGAATGCTTTTTTCTTGCTGATACTGTTTTTCACTGTGAATGGATTATTTAGATGCTATGTTTTGAAAAGATGTTCTTGGGTAGCATAGTTTTTATTTGTATACTTGATGCATTTGTTATAAAAAGTTTGGCATATAGTTAAAATGAAAATAAAGCCATTTATACTGCCTCCATCCTAAGCCATTAACTATTCAGTAGACTTTGGAGGTAAAGTCTTCCTATCTTTTTACACTAATTTAATAATAAGTTAGTATTTTTTGAGTACTTTCTATATGCCTGGTTATTAGTTCAGTTGCTTTACATATAATCTTTAACTCCAAGAGACTAGATATTGACTTCATTTTACAGATAAATAAACTGAGGCATCAAATACATGATTGATGGAATTTTCATTTGTTTATTTTTATGAGAATAATATTGTGGTTTTGTAAACTGAATTTTTTTCATGTTAGTATCATATCCATACTTCCCCCATTGGTTTGAAATGCAGCCTTTATTATAAACTACTTTCTTACACATAATCATTTAAGAATTTCTCGACTTTTCTTGTTTTGTTGGTATATTTGTTTTGACTCCAGATCGGACTTTATTAACTCTTTATGTGGTATGATTTTAATTAATAATCTTCATTCCTTTGCTTTCCATATAAATATAATAAATTTCCTTTTATTGTGATACCATTCGCTACTTCATGTGTGCAGAATAATGATATGGGATATTCATTTCTGATCAAATAATCTTTGCAATTCTGTTTGATTGCAAAGGAAGACACTGCTATGCAAAGGAGGGTCTTTGAAAAGTTCACCTGGCCTGCACCAAGGAGGCAATAATGAACACTCCAATGTATTCAAATGATGTCACTCTAACAACTTACCTGAATTTGAAAATTGTGACTAAGCTAATGTTTAATAGATCATATTCCATATATACTTATATTTAAAATAAGTGACCAATGCCAGTGTGAAAAGTTTCTGTGGGTAATGAACAGTGAGAAGTAATTTTATGACTTTTGTGCCAAAGTGAGTCTTGTTTTATTTATGTTGGGTTTTGTTTTTTCCCCTCCTCTAGGTAGCCTTTCCAGTAAATATATGACTCAGGGAAAAGCCTCAACGAAGAGGACCCAGCAGGAATCATGAGGGAAGGAAAATGGCAGCACTCTAAATGGCCACTCAGTCATTCCTTTTCACTTTGAAAATTAGGTTCATTTCATAGGACACAGCAGCATAGATCAGGCTTCAAGTTCAATTTAAGGGAAGATTTTTTATCTTAATGAAATTGTTAATGAGGGAAAAAAATTAATATAGTCTTACCTACCAGAAATCCCTGTTGATTTAAAACCATGAGGTATGTATGTAAGACGGGTTTTTTAAAAATGAAACTATGGGCCAGTATTCAGTGAATACAATTTCATGGTTTTTTAATGCTTTCAAAGCACACTAAAAATGGTGTGCTAATAAACCCTAAGTAAATCAACCCATTTTTCCCTATAAATCCCTATTTTGTTCCAAAGAGGGAAATTATATTTATTATTGTTTACCGAACCCTTGTATGACAACATATCAAATATGTGACCAATACTACTGTTATTTACAATTTACAAACTTCGTTTTGTCAATATTTGTAGAAGTGATAATATGAACATGAGTACCTGTTTATGCCCGCCTTCTCTGAGTTAACAGTGCCACAGAGGGGCTGTTGGTTTTTTCCCTCTCTAATTTTAATTAAATTGACTTACAAGTACTATGTTCATAAAAATGATATAAAAGGAAAACAAGTAGTCCTGTTTGCTGCTAAAATACTTTCAAAGGAAAAATGACAAAAGTGCTTTTTACTCTTTACAATACTCAGAAGTTAGGGTGGAGAACTTTTAAAAATCCCTGAACAGGTGATCTCAGCCAATCACAGGTTTTGGTTGGAGTCATTTCCGGTCTGACTGGAGCCCTTATGGAATTATTTCTATAACTTTACAAGCCCTTCAGAAGTAGTACAGGATCAGAACTATGCCTCAATTTATCATTTGAAATAAAATCAAAATTACAACCTGTAATTTTATCCACATTATTTTCTAGTGAATTCTGAATTTCATGAGTAAACTAGATCAAGGAGTAAAGACAGGACGATCTGCTCCTCTTTAACTCCTATTCCTTTTATGCATTAATGGGATCACTGGTGCTCCCTCATACCTGCTGTGTTCCAAGCCCTGGAGCTCTGGGAATGTGCGGATAAGAGGAGGCACAGACTTGGGGTGAGCACACAGGGAGGGATAAATAGGGAGCTTGCTGGTAGGAGAGGGCCCTTCTCTGAAACAAGTTACTTGAAGTCATTCCTGCTAAAGAAAAATCTTATCAAAATTAACTTTAGGAATAGGGAGTTGTGTTAGAATTAGTGGTCATTCCTTATCCATTTGGAACACAGACTCATGAATTATACAACCTGGGTTGGAATTCCCCTGACTTTCCCTGGTTGGAATACCTGACTTTCCTTAGCTGCTTTTCTTCTCATTTCTTCTTTTGCCTTTGTGCATGAAGTCAACTTGACGGGGCATAAAATTCCTTCACATTTTTTTGAAAGATCATTGATGCTGTTCTGTCATTGGCTGGTATGACTGTAGTAGAAGTCTGAGGCTGGCCTAATTATTGTTCCCTTGTAGTTGAATTTTTTCCTGCTCGGATGCTTCTATGTTAATTTATCCCTAACATTCTTGTATTAGTGACTTGTCTGAAACAAGTGTGAATCTCATATATCTTTCTCCTTTTTCAAATTGAAAAATGACATCTATGATCTCATTTTTTCTCAAAACTACTTTTGTTTTTTCCCAGTATTCCTCTCTCTTCTGCACGCTAAGAAAACTTAGCACCTTTACTCTCTACATTACTGCCTTGATTTTTAGTGTCATTTTGCTGTTTCTAACATGAATTTTGTCATTGTACTTCCATTTTTCTTTAACTTTTCTCACACATCATTCTTGTCCTCTTCCTTTCCATCGAAACCATGTTTTCTTGTACCGCTAAAGTTTCCTATTATTTATTGTTTCCTGTAGTGGATTCTACTATCTGTATCAGTCTTTTTGCTTTCCATTCCACACACTGGATAATTTGGGTCGGGGCAGCGACCATTATTGGCCACAGACCTGGAGAACAGAATGTTCTTGTTTCTTCACTTCCTTTACTTGGATGTTGGTGACAGCCTCTTCTGAGCATCCCAACTAGGGGACGATGTATCTGCTCCAGGCTGATTGCAGTTCCCAGGGCGCAGCTATCTTTCAATTGCAGCTGGCCTGTCTCTCCTAACAGACTTCGCAAATGCCCTACTATAAGGGTTCTCCGTTCCTCTTTCTCTCAGGAACAAACAAAAATATGAAATTCATCTTTATAGCCCCAATGCTATAAATTTCTTGCTCAGTGTATGCAGTATCAGCAAGATACACACTTAGATGTTATTAAAATGTTCTGAGACAATTCCCATTTATTTTTCATCTTGAAATGTGACATGATCTATTAAAGTTTTTCTGAGAGGAAAAATCCTGAATAGACAGGTCAATAGGGTTTAAGAGTGGTGCAGGCAAAAAAAAAAAAAGTCGAAAACAAACTTCCATAAAACTAAAGATGTGGTTGGTATTCTCTTTTTTTTTTTTTTTTTTAAGTATGTTTGACAGCAGCAGTCAAGTAATATGCGTTTCACTGAGTGGAATTCTAGACTTAATTAGCGTGTGTCTCTATTAATGTTCCAGCAGAGTACCAAGGATAGCTTTAGTTTTATCGCAGATCAAGTGAAGGCTTACAAGGAAGACACTTCTTTAAATGTCTAGAACCCTGAAACTAAATCTGAAGTTCAGTGTTCAACGTTTTCATATGGTGGATTCTTAACCTGTTATTAGTGGAAACCTCAAAGTGGTTACAACTTGCAAATTCCTTCAACCATTCCCCCACCCTCCTTACTTCACAACCACAGTACAGCTGCTTCTCGGAGATAAAGGTGCTCACATATTTCATATAGAGTCATGAAAACTGTCAAGAGACCTGTGCCAGTTACAAATAGCATTAAGAATACCCACTCCACTGGCAAGTATATTATGTGACTTAGCACTTACATGCAAAACAGTGGACCAAGTTTATAACGGAGTTTAAAACAGTTTTAAATGTAGTGCATATTAAAATGAGAATAGAAAGCCGTTAAACATACATGGATCCAGAATTAGAAAATCTAGGAAAATTTAGGACTTCTGGGTTGGTATTTTTAATCATCTAAAGCACTGCACTAGAAGGCTTGAGTTTAAGGTTCTCAATAAATAGATGTGCCAGTGCTTCTGCCCTTCCCTGTTCAGCTCAATCTGCGAGATAATATGCTCAAGGTGTTTTTGAAACCTATAGAGCTCCAAAACCGTAACACTTCAATAATTGGTTAAAATAATGGTGTCTCTTTGTTTTTATTTTAAAAGCTTTATTGTTGAGAAAGTTTTAGGTTCACAACAGAGTTAAGTATGAAGTAGAATTCTTAAATACCCTTATCTCTGCGTACCAAGCTCTGTCCACCTGTGCTCCTAGTGGGGCATTTGTTAAAATATCAGTAACCAGGACACAGCACCCAAAGTGCATTATTTACATTAGGATTCATTCTCAGTGTGCTGCATTCCACTGATTTAGACAAATGTATAATGATATGTATCCACCTTTGTATCATACAAAGTAGTTGATGTATCTGACATCTTTACCATTAACAATTAAGTATTGAGTGCTGCCATGTGCCATCCTCTTAAACCTCACAATATCTGTAGGATGAAGGGCAAGAGAACCAAAATACCTTATTTCAACTGTCCCAGCTAGTCAAGATAAAGCCAGGAGGCAAACCCACCACATCACTGGGTCTAACGGTTTCTTCATGTGCAGGTAGCCATGCTCATTGTCATTACCACTGCATCTCAGTAGTAGGGAGCCAGAACTTAAGGGAATTATGAATTATCAACCAAAACTAGACTGGAACACTTCCATTGATAAGTTCTTTACACATCAAAACACTGGGCAAGACTCCTACCCGGCACCACGTCACAGAATCCTTTTCCTGTTTTCTCCTTGCCTCTGTTTCCAGGAGCAATGTTGCCTACCCTTGATGTTTTACCATCTGATAACCCTGATAACTTCTACCAGGGTCTGTCCATACTGGGCCCTCCATTCCCAGGTGTCCTCTGTATGCCCAAGTAGAGACCTTGGGCCTCAGGAATATTTGCTGAACTAAAAGGCTGGGTTAAGCTCCCGAGCACTCAAAGCAACATCTTGTTACAGGGCAGCCCCTATCAAAACCCGGTTTCCTGACTGTGGGTCCTCACCTGCGCGCTTAAAAGGGCTTATCAATACTCTACTGCAGGCACACAGGAAAGGTTAATAAAAGGTTTATTTACAAGGGAAGGGCAAATGAAGAAATGTACAATTCAGGGAGAAAAGTGGGAGACAAAGTTTTAAATGCGTCCTACCCTATTCGCTGACCTGGAATCCCAAATGGCGCTCTGAGAGCTGGCCACAAGCCAGGAACCATGAAGCCAGGAGGCAAGCGACAGAGCGAGAGACCCCAAGGCCCACGTGTTTGGTTTTTATATCCAACCTGGCTGCCCAACTCCACCCTCAGGTCCCAGCCACCTTCCCTTTGGTGGTGATGGGATTTGTCTTTCCCAATGTCCTGATGGCTTTAGTCTGGAGTGGGGGTGAAGTCCACAAAGCCTGCATGAAATTAGCTCAGGACATCCTTTCCCCCTAACAATTTGACAACAGATGTTCAATCAAGTTTATTAATGGCTAACGCACTATAAATGTATTCACAGAGCTGCTTTCACGCTAGGGTTGGGTTATAAGGACAAATTACATTAGCACCGTCCTTCAAGCTCACAAGCATCTTGAGGGCTGGGGGTTACTTTATTATAGACGACTCTGCGGGTAACTGCGCTGTAAGAACTGCGTGGTGGGCCCCAACGGCAGCGTAACGTGTGACGCCAACGGGCTTCGCAACCCTTCGGCCGTGGCAGCCCGGCCCCGCGCGGGTAGCGGGTGTGTTCTTGGACCGTGACGCCGCACCCCGCCCCGTGGGCAGCGCCTGGAGCTTCGGGCCTCCAGAGTCCACCAGCCGAAGGTCATTTGCTGGGATACCGTCATTCCGCAACGATCCTCCTCCTCAGCCGCGCGTCACGGCCCGCGCCTCGGGGGGTGGCCGGGGGCCGCCCCGCCCCACCCTCTGCCCGTCACTCAAGCGGCCCGCCCAATGGCGGGGGCGGGGCGGGCCCTGCGGGGCGGAGCCTTGGGCGCTGTGCGCCGGAGCTTGTGGCGTCAAAGCGCTCGCCGTGTCCATGGAGAGAGGCTCAAGCGGCCGAGCTCCGGCCTGAGGCCCCGGGGCTCTGGGACGGCGAGGATGTCGGCTTCGCTCGTCCGGGCCACTGTCCGGGCAGTGAGTAAGAGGAAGCTGCAGCCCACCCGGGCTGCCCTCACGCTGGTGAGTGGTCAGGGCGCGCGGCCGGGCCCGTGACGTTGATTCACCTCCGCCCCGCGCCGGGAGGTCACGGAGGCCGAGCGCCGCGCGGCCAAGCGGTGGGGCCCGGGCTTTCCACCCCTCCGCCGCGGCCGGGAAGGCAAAGCGGCGCTCCGCGGGTGCCTCGCGCCTTGGGACTACGCGTTCCCGCAGGCCGAGCTCCCCGGGACTACATTTCCCAGCAGGCCGCGCGCTGCCGAGCGTCGGGGGTTTAGGGGGAGTGCGCTGGGGCTCTGGGCGGCCGGGGCTGCTTTAGGGGGCCTCCCCGCACACCTGCGGTGCTCGGGCGGCGTGAGGTAGCCTAGCCTCTGCTGGGGAATCCGGGCGAGCGCCGGGAGTCCTGCCCCTGAGGGGTTAGGGAGGGCGAAGCTCGCCGCCTGCCCGAGAGTGCGTGCCCGTGAGCGCGGCGGGGACCCCGCGCGCCCCGAGGCTGGGGCTGCGGCCGCCGCGCTGCTGCTCACTTCCGGGTGGCGCTGGCGTTTCCAAACAAACACTGTCTCCTGCGGCCTCGGCTTGGTCGCTCTTTAAAAGGACAAAGAAGGGGAAAGATTTCCCAGCCTTTTCTGGGCGAAAGGTCGGGCCCACGCCAAGGGCACCTGGATCAGTCGGCTGGTACAGTGCTTTTAAGAGTTTACCTCGCACGCTGCATCCTCGACAGAGTTTTTATGCCTGAAAGATATATCGCACGCCAGTAACCATTTTACAGTGATTTTCAGTACATTCAGTGGCTTTTAGTGCAGTAACAATATTGTGCAGTCGTCGTCTCAACCTGCTTCCAAAACATTTGACTGACCCCAAAAGGAAACCCGTATCTCTTAAAGCAGTCGCTTTATTTGCCTTTTTGAAAGAGATGAATTCCACTGGATAGTTGCTCTGTTCAAGTCTTATCACATATCTCACTTTTGGTCAAGGAGAAACTTTTTTGAGAGGATTTAGCACCTAGAGACTGGGGAAATAGATTATTTAAATGGAATCATGCGTTTCCTCCATCTAGGGTCACAGATAAGAAACCCTATTGCTAGTAAATTAGTTGTAGCAAAATTGAGGAAATTCATGATAAAGGGGGCGAATGTATTTTTATAATGGATTATGGTTTTAGGTTGTCTTGATTATATATTGTGTTCTGTTCTATATTATTTATTTCTGTAGCACCAACCTGGTTGTCATGTCTGCAAGATACACACACCATCTGATCTTAGGATTCTCTGTAGTCTTGAAATCACAAGAACTGGAGGCCATAACTCGTACATTGTGTCTCCCCTCAAGCTAGTAAAAATTCGGAGTTCCAAAAAATTCTGCCTCTGAAATGAAATCAGGAAGTCAGGAGCCTTTTGTTTTCCACCATCATTTGTCATGTTACCTATTCTTCAAAATTTTTGAGTCATCCCTTTCCTCTCCTTTTATACTCATTTAGCAGACATTTAAGGACAACAGATAAATTGAGTTAACACAGTTCTTACCATCCACGGACCAAATCATTGGACATGCCTTTTTTCCCTGCTCAGTAGGAGTGATAACACAGCCCACATTCTTAAATCTGGGAGCTCTATACTTGCTCTTGCTGCTTCATTACATTTAAACACTTACCAGGCTAATTATGCTACCAGCACAGCCTTATGTTGATTCTCAGTTCACAAGGACTCCATAATTTCTATGATCAACTCTTCTGATTAACTTGCAGGAGTCTGTTGTTTTAACTCATCCTATTTGTACTTAAAGTTCAGCAGTTCGTTTTCCTGTGATCTTACAAGCTTATGCCAGAGAAAAAGCAAGTCAGTACTGTTTTCCACCAGTGGCCTGAAGTAGCAGGCTTGCAGTCATTTTAATCTTAGATGTTTAGTCTTAAATTCTTATAGTGTTCCAGACATTATGGCATGTATTGCTTTTTGTGGTTAATTTTCAAGTGTTTTGGGACCTCCCTGGTGGCACAAGGGGTTAAGTACAGCACTGTGAAGCTGTTTACAAGCCTCTGCAGGACAAGTTTGATCCCCAGCACGCCAGGGAGCTACCCACATGGCACAGCAGAGCTCTCCTGTCTCGCCCACTGCTCCCCTCAGTAGTGTATTTCAGTCAGTCTGCCTTTTCTGTTCCTCACTCTGTCTCTGGTGAATCCTCTCACCGCCCCACACTTCTGGCCTGTATCCCAGTTCTTGTATGCATAAATAAATCTTTAAAAAAGAAATAAATAATTTTCAAGTGTTTTGCAGACATTTTAACTGTTAAGTGTAAAAGCAGTGATCAGGGCCTCCTCAGTGGCGCAGCGGTTGAGCGCTGGGTTGCGAAGCTGCCCGCAGCCTCCGTGGCGCCGGTTCAATCCCCAGCTGCTCCCCGGCCACCAGAGGAGGGTCCCACATGGCGCGCAGACCTCTCCTGCCGCCCGCTGCTCCCCTCAGCAGTGTACTTCGGTCCTTCTGCCTGCTCTGCTCCCCGCTCTGGCTCTGGTGAATTCTCTCACCCTCCCGCGCTTCTGACTGTACCCAGTGCATGTATAAACAAACAAACAAACAAATAAATAAATAAATAAAAAAGAAAGGTATTTGTTAAAAAAAAAAAAAAAGCAGTGATCAAAGGGTTAGTGAGTAGAGAGAGATAGGAGCAGATAAAACTGTAGATAATTCAGTAAAACTGGTAAGATGTAATTTTTTTTAAAGATTTATTTTATGCATACAAGAGCTGGGGTGTAGGCCAGAGGTGTGGGGGGTGAAAGGATTCACCAGAGACAGAGTGGGGAACAGAATAGGCAGATTGACTATAATACACTGCTGAGAGGAGCAGCGGGTGAATCAGGAGAGGTCTACTGCGCCATGTGAGTTGCTCCCTGGCCAGCCTGGGATCCAACTCGTGCTGTAGAGGCTGCAAACAGCTTCATAGGTTGTGTCTTAACCCCTTGCGCCACCAGGGAAGCCCCAAGATATAAACTTGGACATCAAGTATTTGACATTGCAAGGTTTGAAAAGTGCTGTACCTAGGCAGTCAGCCGGAGGTAGGTCAGCAAGAGGCTGGAAAAAAGAAATTGATGAAAGCATGATTCCATGTTACCACCATCAATTATCTGCATTAACTGATGTTGATTCAGGAAAAGATTGGTGATTTGCTAGAAGGAAAGACAAAACGACTGATGGCAGGCTGCCCATGACTCTCTTATGAAAACCAGAGATGGTTCCTTGATTGAATACTGTAAGACACCAACCCACCGCATCAAAGTAAGTGTCAATACCTTGGACACCTGCAGAGAACACAGTAGGAAGATACCCTTGCTTTCCCACATACTCAGGAATTGATAAATGAAATTGAACTTGTAAGAGCCAGAGTAAAATATGACTGAAGAGCCCCAAGACTTAACACTACCCTGCTGACAGAGGCCTTTATTTCCATTGTTGTACAAATTAGAATTAGTGTGACCCTAATTTGGGACTGGGGTGTGTTCCCACAGCTGTGTATAAAGCTCATCAAAGTTGTGAGAGAATGATGGTACCTAGTCAGCATCATACTTGATACCAACGAGAGAAGATAATGCATTATGTACAGATGGTAACTTAAAACTGAATTTCTTAGTGGCACCTGATGGAGCAGGACTGGGAAACAGTACATTGACTGGAGCTTTACATTCATTGAAGGACAACCAGCAGAATGTCTTTGGAACAGTGAATAGCAGTTGGATTTGTGTATGTGGGCAGCTGAAGAGAGATTACACAGCAAACAGTTGGAAGTAGCTTGGATGTCTAAGAATGAGAGATACGTTAAGTATAGATCTTTTTGGTGATATATTACATAGTCACTTTAAATAATGATTTTTTTTAAATTACGGTTCATAACTCTTCATTCTTTACTTACTAACCCTGTGCAAATTATTCATCTTTAATACCTAAATCCAGGTCCTCCCTGGTTGTGCAAGGGGGTTGAGCACAGCACTGTGAAGCTATCCGCAGCCTCTGCAGTATGAGTTCAGTCCCAGGCTAGCCAGGGAGCTACCCCACATGGCACAGCAGACCTCTCCTGTTTTGCTCACTGCTCCCCTCAGTAGTGTATTTCAGTCAGTCTGCCTGTTCTGCTCCTCACTCTGTCTCTGGTAAATCCTCTCACCCCCCCACACCTCTGACCTGTACCCCGGTTCTTGTATGCATAAATAAGTCTTTAAAAAAAAATACCTAAATCCCAGAATTGTAAGCCATTAAGATGGTGACTATGTTATTGTGTATCAGATGAAAAACATGTTAAACTTTTAAAATACAGACTGCAAAACAGTGTATAGAGAGATTACATATATGTGTGTGTATGTCTATACGTAGCACATGTACTGTGGTATAGATTATGATTGCACACATGGTATATGTGATAAATAATGTGTATAGTATATTGTGTAAGCATAACATGTATCATAGTATATGTAGATACACACTAATATGAAAAGACAAGGGCAACAGTCATAGTTATTAAAGAATGAGTTCAAATATACTGTAACTTGTTCATTGGTTGTTACCTACCTGGCATCTTTTAAACATTAAAGTGCCAGATTTCTGGTGAAATTAAAATAGACTATAGTCATTTGCATTGCTTAGTATACATAATGATGGAGTTAGCTTTAAGTTGTATTTTCCTTAACCAGCAAAAAATGAAAATTGCCTGGGGAATTATTTAAGGAAATAAAGTATTAAGGATGAGGAATAGAAATGATATGGCATTGGATAAAGTAAATGTGTTGAAGTAGTGATAAAATGCATTCATCTGCACTACCTTTTCCCATAAGTTTAACAACAAAAGCAGACTGGAAACCTTGTGTTTTGTTTTTTTTTTTTTTTTTGTGTGTGTGTGTGTGTGTGTGTGTGTGTGTGTGTGTGTTTTATACAAGAGCTGGGGTACAGGCCAGAGGTGCGGGAGGGTGAGAGGATTCACCAGCAACAGAGCAGGGAGCAGAACAGGCAGACGACTGAAATATACTGCTGAGGGGAGCAGTGGGCACGACAGGAGAGGCCTGCCACACCATGTGGGAGTCTCCCTGGCTGTCCAGGAATCAAATCCATGCTGCGGAGCCTACGCTGTGGAGACTGCGGACAGCTTCACAGCCCTGCGCTCAACCCGCTGCGCCACCGGGGAGGCCCTGGAAACCTTGTTTTTAAGGGCCAAAATCTCACACAAAGATATTCTTTCACCTTAGAGAATGGTTCCTATGATAGACGTAAGAGATTTAAAACCACAGGTTACTTTCCCCTTGAGTGTCTTTCACTGTGTAATAAGTAGAACAGTTTTCATAAATTGCTTCTGTTTACTATATCCAAGTATTTTCTACCAAACGGTGAGAAAAGAATAATGAATGAAGGAAAGTTTTCCTAAAGATTCATCTTTATGAAATGATTCATTGGCCAGATTTCAGGTGAATTAGTCATTAATTACATATAAATTTCTTAGGTGTTTGGGAGAATGTATTAAAATTGGAAGACTGCTAGCCCTCCAGAATGTTATTTAATTGAAGAATCTATTTAAACTGTTTCCCAGATTGATTATACTTATGTTCAAAGTCGCCAGAGTATACAGAAAGACTTAGAGAAAAGCAGGATCCTGCCTGAAACTGTATAGATATGTGTACTTCATAAAAGTACCAAATTTAGTTATTCTAACTCCTTCTGTAAATCAGATTCACCACTTAGAAAGTTACCAAAATCATGACTTTTCCTTTAAGTACTCAGCTGGGTTATTCATCATTAGTAACTCTACTTTCAATGGAGTATATCAGATTTTTGTTTAACTCAGGAAAATTAAGATGTTTTTGATTCCTATAACAACAGCTGGCACACAAGTTTCCCCTGGAGTATCTTCACTGTGTCATAAGTAGACCATGAATTGCTTCCGTTTACTATATCCAAGTGTTTTCTACCAAATGGTGAGAAAAGAAGAAAATAAATTGTTAAAACCAAATTAGATCACTTAGAGGGGCCTCCCCGGTGGCGCAGTGGTTGAGCGCTGGGTTGCGAAGCTGCCCGCGGCCTCTGCGGCGCCGGTTCGATCCCCAGCTGCTCCCCGGCCACCAGAGGAGTGTCCCACATGGCGCGCAGACCTCTCCTGCCGCCCGCTGCTCCCCTCAGCAGTGTACTTCGGTCCTTCTGCCTGCTCTGCTCCCTGCTCTGGCTCTGGTGAATTCTCTCACCCTCCCGCGCTTCTGACTGTACCCAGTGCATGTATAAACAAAACAAACAAACAAATAAATAAATAAATAAAACATGCCTCTATAAAAAAAAAAACCCAAATTAGATCACTTAGAGATAAAAGCACCAGGTGTTTGTTGACAGCACCTTAGATCTGCCGGCATTAAAGCAAGGTGATGCTTCTGGTTTTTCTTCCAATAACTATTTTCCCATAGCTGTGTCTTTTTGTTTTACTGGCTTCCTGGAATTCTTTTGCTATTGGACAGTAATTAGATTAATTTCTTCAGCTCTCACATTGTATCTATAACCATGAAAATTATAGGAGCTGGTTTTCATTGGCAATCATTTACAAAGGTAAATGAGAACTGAAAACTTTTTTTATAAATAAAAAATAAATCTGTAGTTATGAGATTGACAAACTGTGGTCACCAAAAAAGACGGACGCCACATTTATTTTACTTAAGCATTTCCTTCTTTATCCACACCGACACTACTCCCTTTGTACTGCTCCAGTTCTCACATAATTGAGGGAAAATATCTTTATGGGCCATGTACTAGTATTGTTTTTTTTTTTACCTTTTTCTTAAAGTGACACACATAAGAAATATATATGTGTACATATGTACTCACCATATATTAGTAACTGAAGTAAGAAGTTTTTCTAAATATTCATCTTTATTAAGTGCAATGCATTGTTCTCTTCCATTTTGTGTTTTTAAAATTTTAAAAATGCTAGTCTCAACCTTCTAAATTGGTCTCATGGGCTTTTTAAATTGGATCCAGACTTTGCTTCAACATACTCATCCGGTGGAACCCCCGTCAGGCAGGAAGAATATGCTCTGTGCCATCCGTTGGTTCTGCTTAAGTTCTGACTAGAATTACTACTATAGTCATAGGTCATAATACCCACTCTGGGATTTCACAAACTAGTAAAATGTCAAACCAAAAAACTGGAGGACCAGCACGGCATTCCCATCTAGAGGAGCTAATGAAACAAGTAGGAAGACCATCAGCTCTTCGTTATGATATACATACTTTCAGGTGGCTTCATCTCGCACTCTTTGTATGTGACACTGTTCACAAACTTATTTAAAGGTCATAAGAATTCTGAGAAAGAGAGCTTATTTATCCCCATTTAAGCCAAGGAGTGGAATAGAGACAAGTCATGAAGTGGACCAGGAATGCTCTGGAATTGATTCTGTCCCTAGCATCCTCCTTCCCAAAAAAGTAGGGGTAGTAACTGACTCATGTGACATTTTTTCTCATTTTGAGAACAACTTGATAAACAGCATTTCTCCTGAAATATCCCTTCCTGTTGTTGTTTCTGTAGTTGACTATCTTAGTTCCTTTCATCTATACACCCTAAAATACTAATTTAAGCCACATATGAAATCTGTGAGCTTTTGGTGGGACTAGTAGGAGAAGCATACTCTCTCTCTAGGTGTGCATTTTGATGGGGTTGAAATAGATTTGGGGTAAGCAAAAAAATAAAGTTAAAAAAAAGAGTTAACATTAATCAATAGGAAAAATATCTGAAAGTTGCCTTTCCCCATGAAGTACTTGATTCATTCATTGGTTATTGACTATCTTCTCTGTGTCAAGGCAGTCTGTGTTGCTGGGCATACATAGGAGCACAAAATAGATGCTGCCTGGAAAAATACACTTGTAATGTGAGTAGATGGTGCCATAGAGATGATGACAGGGCATTGCCCTTGCCTGGAGGGAAACCAGACTTAAAAGGATGTTGCTAAAAGATGTTTTAAAAATAGAGTGCTTTGAGGTTGAGTTCATGTTTGTGTATAAATTCCACAGGTATTCTGTCAAGAATGGAACATAAATTTATTATAAGAATTTGCTCAAGATAGAATAGAATAGTCTTAAACACTAGAAAATATATGACTGAACTAAAAACTTAACTTTTTTTTTTAGACACCTTCAGCAGTAAACAAGATAAAACAACTTCTTAAAGATAAGCCTGAAAACGTAAGTAAAACCAGACAAATAATTAGTAATTAAATTTATCACAATACATTTATCTTGATATAAAAGTGTGCTTTCATTGATTAGGGGATTTAATACATAAAAATAAAATGCCCTCAATGGTTTTTAAAAATTCAAATAATAATGAAAATGAAAAGTCATTTTCTCACCTATGCTCTTTGTTGTGATTCTTTTAAGAGGCAACCTCTTAGTGTCCCTCCACTCTTGTATATTCTATCTGCCTACACAAGGGTTTTTCAGCCTCAGCACTGTAGATATTTTGAGCTGGACAATTTTGTTAGGGGCAGATTGCAGAATCTTTAGTGATATTCCTGGCTTCTGCCAGTGGCAGCACTCTATTCCTGAGTTAGAGCAACCAAAAACAATGCTCTGAGGGAACCACTGGCCTATACTATGATTGTACGCTGTGTGTGTCTTTTCCTCTTTAGATGAGAGCATTTCTTTTTTTCTTTTTTTAAAGATTTATTTATTTATGCATACAAGAACCAGGGGTACAGGCCAGAGGTGTGGGGGTGGGTGAGAGGAGTCACCAGAGACAATAGGGAGCAGAACAGGCAGATCTACTGTAATACGCTGCTGAGGGCAGCAGTGGGCGAGACAGGAGAGGTCTGCTGCACCGTGTGGGTAGCTCCCTGGCCGGAGATGAAACTCATGCTCCAGTGGCTGCTGATTGCTTGATAGCACTGAGAGAAACCCCTGCACCACCAGAGATGCCAAAATGAGAGCATTTCATACCTGCTGTGCTTTTTATCCCTAATAACATAACTTGAAGCTCTTTCCATATTATTACATAAAGAGCCATCTCATTCTTTTTTGTGCCTGCATATAATAGAGTATTACAGTGAACAGATTTGTCTTATTTAAACAGTCCTCCATATTAAAGATCCTTTGGATTGCTTTTTTTTAGTGCTGCCACAAATGTCATTAAACAAATACTTAGTTTCTGTAGTGTGCCAGGCCAGTGGTTCTAGATGACCAAGTCTGTAAACATGCCTTAGTGCATGCTGTAGAATTGTTGAGTAAGGGGGTGTGTGCATCATCTTAATCTTAATGCATTGTTAATCACCTATGGAATACTGTATATTAGTTCCAAGTAAGAGAACATTAATTTTTTTTTAAAGATTTTTTTATTTATACAAGTATTGGGTACAGTCAGAAGCGCCGGAGAGTGAGAGAAATCACCAGAGCCAGAGTGGGGAACAGAACAGGCAGATTGACGAAACACACTGCTGAGGGGAGCAGCGGGCGTGGCAGGAGAGGTCTGTCGCACCATGTGGGACCCTCACCTGCAGCCAGGGATTGAACCAGCGCTGCAGAGGCTGCAGGCAGCTCTGGGAGGCCCAGAACATTAATATTTAGTAAATAGACTGTAAAGTGGTTTTTAGGTTCCATTGTACAAACTATATTACAGTGTAATGGAAATTCTAGAATATTCCTCCTAAGAATTGTTAAATGGGGGCCTCCCTGGTGGCGCAGGGGGTTGAGCGCAGCGCTGTGAAGCCTTCTGCGGCCTTTGCAGTGCGAGTTCGATTCCTGGCTGGCCCGGAGCAACCCACATTTTACGGCAGACCTCTCCTGTCTCACCCACTGCTCCCTTAGCAGTGTGTTTCGGTACATCTGCCTGTTCTGCTCTCTGCTGTCTCTGGTGAATCTTCTCACCACCACCCCACCGTGACTCTGGCCCCCTACTTCTTAAAAAAAAAAAAAAGAATTATTAAATGCTAAATATATCAGTTTAGATAGACCGATGACTAGTATATAAATTGACCAAATGAAAACTTTAACTTTGTAGATATGAGGGATGTTTGTTCATATTAACATGAAAAAGTTTGAGCTAATGATTCATCAGGGTAATTTATGACACAGTCAATCCTTTTCCAAACTCCAGTTACTTGAACTATATTTTCCATATACTCTTTATGTGCCTCTCTCCGGTACTAATAATTGGACTTCCTGCTTGCTTGAGCTTTCCTGTTTGAGAGAAAAACTAAGTCAAACAATCTGATATGCGCTCCAGAATTACACTTAGGAAAGTTATTATTTGTCATGCTGAATATGTGAAATTTCCCTCACACATTCTCTGTCACTCTGAACGTAAATAAACCATAGTTCTGTCTTACTGGTTAAGGTAGAAATGACTGCTCTGAATACTTCAGCTTGTCAAAATTTCCAAACAGTTTAATGTTCCAGCTTACTAAGCTCCTTCCCTTTTCATGTTGCTTTCAGAGAATCTATCTACTTGGTGAAATGCTTTTTATGGTAATTTTACTGTATACTTAAATGAAAAAGCACATAGGACATAAGAATAGAAATTCAATAGATATTGTTAGATTGTTGCATTAAGGTAGACATTGGTGTTTTAAAAGTGCTCTTTGGTCATTTTTAAACTTATGTCTGTATTGCTTTACTTCCTTGTATTTGAGAATGTTTCTCTAGTTGTGCTTGAGAGTTAAGACTCTGTGTAGAGACTATATGATTGCCAGGTAGTTGACCCATGAACCTAATCAAGGAAAATTCCTGAGAACATCTCACACCATGAAGTGAAACAAAAACATTTCAAAGTCTGATTTTTTAAGTAGTCACTGTACCATCAGATCCTTTTCTTTTTCCTTTTAAAATAGTGTTCATTTCTTAGAATTAAAACAGTTTTCTTAGAAATGTTATTCTGGGGCCTCTCCAGTGGCACAAGGGGTTAAGTCTCAGCACTGTAAAGCTATCTGCAGCTACTGCAGCTCGAGTTCGATCCCCAACCAGGGAGCTGACCCACATGGCCCGCAGACCTCTCCTGTCTTGCCCACTGCTCCCCTCAACAGTGTATTTCAGGCCACCCGTTCTGCACCCCACTCTGTCTCCTCTCACCTCTCCGCCACCTCTGACCTACACCCCAGCTCTTGTATGCATAAATAAATAAATCTTTAAAAAAATAAAAATGTTATTCTGGGCCTAAAGGGTTAGTAGTAGTAGTTAAGTAATATCATGGTGGAATATTTGCAACTGATAATAATTACATGGGAAATCAGTATCTTTAATGGGTAAAATGAAGGTGATACTCTGTAATAACAAGAACAGTGTTTGTTTTATCTATACAGATAAACAACCGGAAGGAAATGCAGGTAGTGCAGTGACTATAGCTTTTGGATTGGTATCTACCCCCACCCTGCCCCTTGTTTTCTATTTATATAATTGTTTTTTATTCTTTTTGAATCCTCAGTAGTGTTATAATGATGTTTGTACAACATTACATCTTTTAAATGCTCATTCCCCATTTCACTAACACTTCTTAATATAACCAGAAGTCTAACACTTAATAAGGAAATGAAAAATATCAACGTAATTATTTAGTGAGTACTACTTTAAAATTAAGTTATATTTGCCATCCTTTTTCAGGTAGGTGTAAAAGTTGGTGTACGAACCAGGGGGTGTAATGGTCTTTCTTACACTCTGGAATACACAAAGACAAAAGGAGATTCTGATGAAGAAGTTGTTCAAGATGGTGAGTTCTGAGCAAACTTTCTGGACACTTAGTTTTGTCTGGAGTAATGATATTAGTGATAATAAAAGTGGGAATGGCAATAGAGCACTTACTGTGAGGTAGACATGTTTGATGGACATTCATGCATCAAGTGATAAACAGAGCAACAGAATAGGATTGGCACCTTATTGTCCCCATTGTACAGATGAAGAAACTGGGGCAAGAAGTTAAATATTGCCTAAGGACCCACAACTACTCAGTGGCCTAGTAAAAAGTTGAGCTCAGTGAAGGTTACTACATAGATTATTGTTAGTGACTAAAAGTTTATTAGACAAACTTGTTTATTTATTTCAGTTAGAAGAGGTCATCATTGTCTTGTTGGTTGTCAGTTATGTTGATTATCATTGTTGCAGACTGATTTTAAGATGACAGAATTTTAAAGTGAGCCAACTACTTTGGGTGAAGCAGCAGTTTCACATCCATGTCAAATAAGTAATGTCATCTCATGTTTTTGAGGAATCTTTATTTCTAATTTTTATTGAAAATCTCAATATTTCAGTAATTGTTTTGCCTGTACTCTGCCCTACCCGATAATCTGATAAAACTACAACTTCAGGCAGCTTCCTTGTGCACAGATTTTATGGGGGTGGCTTTGTGCGCCAGAGGTGTGCTGTCAGCTAGCTTTCATGGGTTCCTGCCGTGATTTCATTTCATTCAGCTGAAGTTACTGATCAATTAAAACACTTGTTAATACATTATTTTTTAAATCAATACAGAAACACATTTTTTCTTAAAAAAAAAGAGATCTGATAGGTCATTTAGTTACTGATTTACATGGGTTTAATTAGTCTATGAGATGACATACACCCTTTTTTATATTTAAGTAATGACTTAGTTCCTTATAATTATGAAAGAAAATTTTGTTAAATTAATCGTATTTGCAAAGATGCCTTCTTCTACTTACTTAATACTAAGGACTTACATTATCAGTTTTCCTGCCCATAAATTCGAAAGGACCAGAACTGCTGTGTTGTACTGGTTGGTCTTATTAAACAGTTCCACTGTATACCAGCCCTTGGTGTGTCTGTAAGTTTGTCAGTGTGTCATGTGTGCCGGGTGTCACCTTAGGGTTTTCATAAATTTCATTGACTTTATCTTTACAAAGTCTCTGAAAATACACACATTTTCTTCATGTAGCAAATTGGGAAAAAAGGTAAAGTACAGTGAAAAGCAAATTCTAGTTTTGTATAGAATTGCCTTGAAATTTGCTGGTATACAAGCATCAAGCCTAAAATAATTGGTTTTGACATAGTTATTGTGTGGGAAAGGGGCAGACAGGAAACTGAGCACTAAAGGTCTTCAAGGAAATAATGAGGCAGATCCAGAAACTTCCTGTCTGTTTTGTTAGTGGCTGCTATTTAAAGCTCATGTGTGCTTTGGCTCAGCAGGTTCCATAGGCCTGCAGACTCTCATGACATGTTTTCTTCTCCCCAAGGAGTCAGAGTATTCATCGAAAAGAAAGCACAGCTAACACTTTTAGGAACAGAAATGGACTATGTTGAAGACAAATTATCCAGTGAGTTTGTGTTCAATAACCCAAACATCAAAGGAACATGTGGCTGTGGAGAGAGCTTTAATATTTGACTCCCTGACTGCTCTACCTGTAAGCCCCAGGAAGATGGACGCCCTGGGACTTAATGAAGAATTCATGTGGCTGTCACATGCTTAAAGTTTATAATGTATGGCTGCCTTTTGTGGAAAATAAAGTGATGCATTTTGAAAATGAAGCCAGTGTGTTAGATTCCAGAAAAAGTGGTATTTGTACTTGTTTTGAAGGACAGAAAATGAGACACCATTGCTCTTGGGGGTCATTTTTCTTATTCTACCCTTCACTTAACTCTCTGACTTTCTTCCTGTTAGAGCCAGTTTTGTGAAAGTTGCTTTCCTGGACGAATTTTAGGAAGTGTGTTCTTAATAGGTATGTACTTAATGGCTTTGAATGTGCACCTCTCAACCAAATTAATAGAATTCCGAGTCTGGAAGACTGCTGGTGCAACAAGGTGGCACATGGTCTTTTTACCCAGACATAGAAAGGCCATACCATGTTTTTTATCTAAAATTTCATCGTCAGGTGCCTCATTTGCTTAGCCTTTAGGAATACAACCATTAGATGGAGAGTACAGGACAAAAATTTCTTTGAAATATAGTGTATAATAATACTGAGTGAAGGGATCAGAAGGTGAATACTTCACCTACCTGTTACTTAATCCATTTCTTTTGCCATCCTACGAGTCCACTCGGAGATGAGATCTTAAACTGACTTGGATGCTTTTCATTGGGAGGTCTATTAAAGCCGTCTAGCCCACCCCCCCAGTTTTATACCTGGGGAACCAAAACCCCAGGAAAGCTGAAGGGTTTTTGTCCACCCTCGCACTGCAGGCTTGGGTAGGGGCAGAGCTCAGACCAACCTTATTTCCCCTGCCTTGTGGGTGACATGTGAGCTCTGAGGCAGTCAGGGACAGTAAATAGGTGATCTGACTTCCTTATCCAGTCAGCTTTTTAGAAAGTTTCTTTGTAACTTGATGGAGATCATATTTAGTTTTGTTTTGAGTGAGAATCTTACTTTTAAAACCCATTTATGTGAATAACTATCTTGTTTCTTTAAAACTATGAAAGAGTAGTTTCTATTAGCAGGGAAGAAGAATTAGAGAAGAACCCAGAATTATTCTTTTGGAATGTAGTAGTAATTGTAAAGCAGAACACGGGGGTCTTTTCTTAAAAATCTCAATGTTTGTACATCTTCAGGATCCTAAATCTAATCACTAAAATTTTTAATCCTAATATTTTAAGCTAACATTTTTATCACCAACTTGTCTTTAACCATATTCATTTTGTCATTTAGTTACTGCTCTTCCTAGGTTTAACTATTTTGTGAGATGGCAGATAGGCTTTTTGGAAAGCTGATTCTCATGAATTGAAGTAACTGAGTTCCTTTGTCATATTTACTTAAGTACCTGGCACAAAATGCACTACGACCTGAACCGGTAGCTTTATGTAAATGCTCCTGACTCTGTATCATTAATATAATTGTCAATCCACTTATAATTTGTGCAATACTGTATGTGTGTAAAGATTGAGTTGTCAATAAAAAAAAAAGTGCCCTATTTGTGATCATAAAATTGCCTTTTATTTTCAGGAATAGGGTTTGGGAATGGTAGTCATTATAACTGCTTATAATTGCCCTAAAGGTTTTCTGACTCAGATTTCAGAATCTTGAAGCACCCACAGGTGCTTTACCTGATCTCACGTTTACCAGCATTTCCACACCCACCCACCCCCTCTTTCTGCCATTCAGTCCCCAGGAGGGAAAGTGCATCCACATTGGTTTGGTTTTCAACAACTGGGAGGTAACAAAGACCAGGTTATCCCAATGATACAAACAAGGACCAGATTTCACTCTGAGTTAGCAAGGTTTAAAGATACTTATCTCTGGAAAAACCTGATTCTCTGAAGTGGGAATTTGTACCCAAATTTATTTTTTCTTAACACCCACCATGGTGTCCAGGTCTTCCTATCAGCATGAGAGATTCTTGGTGCCACGCTGAAATGGCAGAACTTGATGGCAAGAGTTCACTGAGCAGTTTTAACTGTCAGTGCTGTATATGATCTTTCTTTAGGTATTTTGAATATTAAACTTATCACAGGGACTTCCAGTCCCACCCCCAATCACTAAGATTCCTTGGTAGTGGGGCGGGGGTGGAGGGAGGGGTTCTCCAATTCAGCCACCACTGCTTTAGCCAGCAAAGCCAGGTGACCGGGAGCATCCAAGAGCCATTTTAACCTTTGAACCAGAGTTTTCTCAATTAGACCAAATCTGATATCTCAGGAGGACATGAAAGAAAGGGATTATATTGAAATGAACCTGCGGTTTTTATCTCTTAGTTGGTCTGGTGACTGACATAATTGATTTGTGTGCACTGAACCAGTGTTACACCTCTAGGATGAAGCCTGCTTGACCATGGTGGATGAATTGTGCAATATGTTGCTGTATTTGTTTGCTAGAAATTTGTTGAGGATTTTTACATCTATGATGGTCAGGGATATTGACCTATCATTTTTTGTGTGCTGACTTTGATTTTGGAATCAGCAATGTTGGCCTCATAGAATGTGTTAAAGATCTTTCTGCTCTCTTCAATTTTCTTTTAGTTACCCAATTGCAATGGTTATTTTTATGTGTAACTTGCAGCCCAAGGGGTGCCCAGACTATTATTTCTAGTGTGTCTGGGAGGGTGTTCCAGGTTGCAATTAGCATTTGAGTTGGTAGGCTCAGTAGATTGCCCTGCCCAATGTGGGTGGACATCATCCAATTCTTTGGGAGCCTGACTATGACAAAAGACAGAGTAAGGAAGAATTGGCCCCTTCTTTTCCTGCCTCACTGCTTGAGTGGGGACAGGTGACTTCATCTCCAGTAGGCCCTCTAGTTTTCAGACCTTCAGACTCATACTAAATCACCACCAACTCTTATAGGTACTCATTTTATAGATGGCATAAAATAGAACTTTTAGCTTTCCGTAATTGTGTAAGCAATTCCACATAGTAAGTTGTAGGGTAAGGAAAAATGTCAGGCTTTTCTGCCCTCCCGCCATCAGGATAGATGATGGATCCTTGCAGTCCTGAATGCATGCCTGATGGCGGGCATCTGAAGTAGGGTGTGGGCATAGGTAGATGAGATTCACCTGGGCTAAGACTGGGCTTTTAAGGGCGGTGTCATGGGGACACCAGCAGAAGACAAGAACGAACAGAAGCCGAAAGAAGAAAAGAAGCAGAGAGATGCCAGAGAGCCCAGATAGAGTGAAGATTTGCCTCCCAGCCCCCCAGCACCCTTGCCTGCTGTGTACCGGGTAAATCCCAATAAAGCCTGCAAAAACCACTGAGGACTCAGACTCCTCCTTTACACGGTCTGCTGGATCAGAAAACCTGCCCTGTGGTCTTCCTGACCTTACATAAGTATTACCAGTTTTGCTTCTCTGGAAAACCCTGCCTAGCATACCAATAGATTCCATTCTGGAGAAATGGTTATTTGGACAAAGTTTTCATTTATTTTGCTGTAAGAAAAACTCCATAGTGGGGAACCATTTAAGGTAACAATGGGGATAGAGTCCAGAGCATGTATACATAGTTTCATGGAGTAAGTTGTCATAACCATGCAGCTCCCAATCCACTTCTAACAAGATCATCTACGCAGGTATAGAGAGCATGTTTGTCTCCTACTTAATTGCCTCTGTGTCTCCTATGCACTTTGCGCATATCTATAGAAGGAAAGTCTTGACTGATGAGAAATTACATTTAGCTATTTAATGTTTTTTATATATTTTTAAAGATTTGTTTCATTTATGCATACAAGAACTGGGGTATAGGCCAGAGATGCAGGAGGTGAGAGGATTCACCAGAAACAAAGCGGGGAACAGAACAGGCAGACTGACTGAAATACACTGCTGAGGGGAGCAGCGGGTGTGACAGGAGAGGCCTACCTCGCCATTTGGGTTTCTTCCTGGCCAGCTGGAAGATCGAACTTGTGCTGCAGAGGCTGTGGATTGTCTCATAGTGCTGTGCTTAACCACTTGCGCCACCAGGGAGGCCCTAGTTAATGTTTTTTAGAGAAATGCTTTTCTGTCCTCCACTCTTGACCCATTATCACCCTTCCACCTGGATGATAATCATCAGGCCCTTCAGATCACTTCACTGTTCATGTGACACTGAGGATATCTGTATGTCACAATGAATAGTCATTCATTTACCCAACACATAGTAGGCATTAACACTTGCCAAGGACTGAACCAGGCCACAGAGCTACTGCATGAAGGAGCCTGTGCCCGCACCTCCAGGCTGCAGATTCATGAAGAGATGGAAATAACAGGTAATTGTAAAGCAACTGGTAAGTACAGTGATTGATAGACTCCTGGGGTATAAGAGAGCACAGAAAAGTAAAAATTAAGCCAATATGGGCTTGGAAAGGAGAGGTGAGGTGAAGTGGGCCTTGAGCACTGAGATGATGGCTAAATTCATTCCCACAAATAGATTGAGGGACTTTCATGCCCTTCTAGCAGGATAGCTGGCCCAGCTGATTATGATGAATCACACAATCTCCCTCTTCTCTTAAGCCTTCTCCATGAACAGCCCTGTCCCCTCCTCGGATCTCTGTGCCTCCTCCTTCCCCACCATGTCCCACCAACACCCGGCTCTGACTTGGTTCTACACACTGCCATACACCCCCTGCCCCCTACCTAGAGTCCTTTCTCATAGCTCTTCCCACATCCAACCTGGAGAATATACAGCTTCAATAGACATGAGAAATGAGAGAGGAAGAGCTCAAAGAATGGTAGAGAGCTTCCTCTCCCCTTTTCCAGAAGCAGGAAATGGGACAAGCTCCCTCTCTTAAGCCAAAACTGAATGATGAAAATCAATGAATGGGCCAAACTGGCTTCCAACCAAAGCTGCCAGGTGTTGCCCCTCCCCTTGCCGCAGCAGGCCAGTCAGTCCTCAAGGCCACCATCCATCCTACCAATGCAGGCCTCAGCGGTTATTGTTCCCTCTGGACTGTTGAGTGTGCAGCAGTCAGCATAGCAGTTTTCCATGTCAATTCCATTGCATAGAACTGTACTGTTTCTGAGCCACCCTACCCTCTCCTACCCCTCCTCCTACCCACCGAGGGTTTCTTTTTCCTCCTTTCCTTCCTCATGCGCTGCCTCACATTTCAATTGCCAGGAGCACCTGCAGGTATCTGGAACTTTGGAGGTGAGACACAGGGCTAATGCTACTGACACCAGCCAGTTTCCAGACTGACCTAGAATCCCATTCAGTACATTTGCCAGTTCCCTGGAGAAGAGGGGACATGAACCCCACCACAGCTGCACGGCCTTCCTTTGGCATCAAAGGGAGTGGAAATGGTCATGGGTGCAGAGATGGGGCACAATGGAATTCTTCACAGGAACCCCCAAAGAAGTCTGTCCCTTCCCCTCAGGTCACTGAGCTGAATTCATGTCTTCCATTTCTGGGTTTCCACCTCTGGGAGTCTGGCTCTTTCTAATTCCACCCTGCTGGCCAAGTGTTGCTGCCTCCACCAAACAAACTGGAAGCAAGCGTGGGTCTCCCCTAGAGCCAGCGCCACATACTGATTCTCCCCATTTCTGAAGACACTGGCACCTCCCTGCCCTTTCCTGGGCCCCCGCCTCAGCTCACCCACCCCCAACACTGTGTGACACAAACTGAACTGAAATACCAGGGTCACCCAGATGCTTATGTCCTGGACACCACAGGGCTGGTCCATTTGGCATTTGCTAGGAAGAGTGTCCCCGTTCCTGCTGACTGGTTGCGTGAGGCTTGTTTATTGTGTGGACCACAGGGTTCCAGATATTTAACCACCAGGTGTTTATGGAGCCCTTGCGATAAGCGTCGCACCTTGTGTCATGGAGCACTCCTCGAGGTGATAGCCTCTGCACCCTAAGACCTAATCTCCAGGAGAGGGGTGGTAGCAGGAGGAAGAGCATAGTAGTTGCAGGCAGCCAGGGACCGGCGATCACGGTCACGTTCCTTAATGAAGTTGCAGTCAGCTACAGACTACATGCGATGGTGAGCCCAGCAGGCTACCCACATAGCCTCGTGTGTAGTAGCCTTCCCATCTCGGTTTGTATAATCACACTGACATTCACACCATGAAATGGCCTGAAGACCCATTTCTCAGTATATATAACCTGCTATTAAGCCATGCTTGACTGCAAACAGCTAACACTTTCCAGAGCACCCCCCGCACCTGGCAGTCTTGCAGACACGCTGCATGAGTCCACAGATGTAATGCTCACACAGCTCGGGCAGGAGACACATCCCCATCCCCATCTGACATCCTGTTCACTGAACACTGAGGCCGATTCTCCCAGAGCACATTCTCTTGCCCTTTACGCTCAAGCGGGGAAATACCACCTGTACAACTAATAAGCTGGAATGTGACAAGTGCCATTGAGGACACAAAAGGACACTGTCAGGGAGGCTTGGAAAAGTGGAAAGAGACTACCATCGGGGAGCAGAGATGCCAGGGAACAACTCCTGAGCTGAGCTCTGATGAATTGGGCAGTTCGAAGGCAAAAGGCATGGAGTCAGGGTGAGAGGAGCAGACAGGAGTGTTTCGTGTGAAAGAACCGCAGAAACAGGCATGGAGGTAGGGAAGAAAGGCATGTGTGGGGAATATCAGAAAGTACATTGGCAGAAGTTCAACCGCCTGAAAGGGAAATGGGGCAGATACAGGGGTTTCCAGCTTGTGACTGAACGGTGAAAAGCCCTGACCGCTAGGCCTCCGACCTTGTCCTGTGAGGACCAGGGGCAAGCCACTGAAGGCTTTAAGCTCAGCAAATCTCTATCAGAATTCCTTTTGAGGAAGGTTAACTGGGAGTGGTGTATAGAAATAAGTTAGAGCACGGGAATTTTAGGCAATGAAGCCTTTCTGCAGGATATTCAATGGTGGATACATTTGTCAACATCTGCGGAAGGTACAATGCAAAGACAGAAGGCTAATGTAAACTAGTTTTAAAATAATGTATCGGGCCTCCCTGGTAGCGCAGGGGTTAAGTCTCAGCACTATGAAGTTATCAGCACTATGAAGTTATCAGCAGTCACTGCCACCCGGCCAGGGAGCTGCCCACATGGCGCAGCAGACCTCTCCTGTCTCGCCCGCTGCTGCCCTCAGCAGTGTATTTCAGTCCATCTCTCTGTCTGGTGAATCCTCTCTCACACACATCCCTTACTCTGGCCTATACCCCAGTTCTTGTATGCATAAATAAATAAATAAAATAAATCTTAAAAAAAAATAAAAATAATGTATCAAATTGGTTCATCACTTATAACAACAGTAACAATTAAGGCGGGATGAGATGCTAAACATAGGGCACACCGTGTGCATGATGGTGGGGAGAGCAAGTGTGAACATTTAACAATAGAGTGTTCTGTAAACCTTATGGCCCTTAAGAAAAACAAAGCCAGCGCAGCTCTGTGAAGCTGTCTGCAGCCTCTGCAGGGCGGGTTCACTTCCCAGCCAGCCAGGGAGATACCCACATGGCGGGGCAGACCTCTCCTGTCTTGCCTGCTGCTCCCCTCAGCAGTGTATTTCGTCAGTCTACCTGTTCTGTTCCCCACTCTGTCTCTGGTGAATCCTCTCATCCTCCCACGCATCTGGCCTGTACCCCAGTTCTTGTATGCATGAATAAGTAAATCTTAAACAAAAAAATCCTTGTATTAAGTCAGCAATATAATAAAATAACTACTTTCCTAAGAAAACTTGGTTTTCAAAAATTGCATTTTTGAAATGAGGGAATTGGGAGTTTTAAACTATAGAGTTCACTTTTCTTACCAAAATTTTTAATAGTAAAGGCTCTTCAGGAATTCAGCACCAGTGGGGTGGTTGAGTCACTTCCACTCCCGAGGGCAGGTTGTCACCTTCATTGTTGAGGCCCTGTCACTGATCTGCTCTCCATCAGTGCCTCAGTCCTTCCCCTTCTCTGTAGTGCTAACTCTGATTGTTCATGTCTCCAGTTCTGATGGTGCTATAATCAATACAATTCTATGGGACTACCCCTGAGGCGTAGGGCTGGGTGGGCGAGGGGAAGCAAACGTTTAAAAATGAACAATAATGGGCTTCCCCGGTGGCACAGCGGTTGAGCACTGGGTTGCGAAGCTGCCCACAGCCTCTACAGCGCCAGTTTGATCCCCGGCCGCTGGGCCAGGGTCCCACATGGCACGCAGACCTCTCCTGCCGCCCGCTGCTCCCCTCAGCATGTACTTCGGTCCCTCTGCCTGCTCTGCTCCCCGCTCTGGCTCTGGTGAATTCTCTCGCCCTCCTGCGAGAGTACAGCTTCTGACTGTACCCAGTGCTTGTATAAATAAATAAATAAATCTAAAAAAAAAAAAAATGAACAATGATGTAAAATATATACATAAATTGAAAACAAGTAAAAAAAAATATTGTCAGTCGAAGCAAATTGTATTCCCTAATCAGTCAGTTGTGTTATATTCAATTCCTCTTCTGACAACTCCAGTGGAAGGCCTGTGATAATTGGCTGTCTACTCTGCCAGCTGCTATGCCAAGCAAGCGGATCTCAGGGGATGACTATAAGGTTAAGAAATCCAGCCATCAAATCCGATAGGAAAGGCAAGTAAACATTTGGTGAGAGATCAGACAAGGACTAATGAAGTCCAGACAAATCCTCGGGTCCCTGAGGGCTCGCCCTCTCTTGCCAGGGACCCCTCCTTTTGCTTAGATCAGCATTCCCAAAGCCCATAATCTCTCCAGTGGGTCACCGGCACTTTGGGGGCTTCAGAGTTAAAAAATTAAAACACTGTAGCCACACTTCATGAACTGGAAATGCAGGATTGTGATGATGCCACAGAATCTCAGTCTGTTCTCGGTAGCCCTAGCATATTCAAACATTAGGACTCATTAATCAGATCATCTTAAATATCACCTGGTTAAAAAGGGTTCATCCTAGTTAATGTTTTTCACACCATTTGCTTGTTTATATTTAATTGACTTTGTAGTCTTTGTTATTACTATTGGGTTATAAAGGATTCAATTGCATTTATAAAATCAGTGACTCAGAAGTGTTCACAGAAACATCAAGTAGTGGGGAAAACAGTGATATAGATCCTCCAGATTCAAACAATCATATGAACCCACTAGGAAGCTGTCACACCAGCATGATGGAGAACATTCAGGATGTACTAAATTGAATGAATCTGCAGATGTGAGCCTACACAAAGCAATTGAAAATTGAAACTAAGAGTTGCCATGATGATCATCTACAAACCAAATTTGATTAGATCAAATCTTCCCTTGCCCAGATCCTTTGGCTTCATTGCACAAGCAAAGGCAGCAACATTCTAATCAACCAATGGAGTCCGATACCAGGCTGCTGGGCGAGGGTCCCACGTGGCGCGCTGACCTCTCCTGCTGCCCGCTGGTCCCCTCAGCAGTGTACTTCGGTCCTCCTGCCTGCTCTGCTCCCCGCTCTGGCTCTGGCGAATTCTCTCACCCTCCCGTGCTTCTGACTATACCCAGTGCTTGTATAAATAAATAAATAAATCTTTTAAAAAAAAAAAAATTCTAGCAGCTCTTTGGAAAAAAAAAAAAGAATTTTGTAAACTTGGCTACAAAGTTAATTGCATTTGTTAATGCTCAGAAGCACAAAATGAACTTTGGGCAAAGTAGCTTTGTCATTGATCTGTGGTACAAGTATAACATGTGAGAAAGCATTTCCAGTTTCAAATGTGAGCTGATTTACAGCTATTGCTAGATCTGTTGTATAAAGCAGAAAGTCGGAGCCACGCTTTGTTCCCTTCACCACTGAAAACCCAGAGAAAAGCCATCAGAAGAGGTGTGTTTGTAGACTGAAGCACAGGCCCAGGTGCCCGTGCGGAAGCAACACCTGGAGGGGAAGCAGAGAGGAAGGCCATCGCTTTAGAAATGAAAGAACAGTCTCCGAGTGTCTGTCCACACGCAATCTTACTCCCGGGAACTACCTCTCACTTTTGGAAGAGCCTGTGAACACCGCACGTGCACTCAGTTGTGGCTGCTGCATTTTCACCCTCCCATGTAAAGAAATGGGAAGGAATGAGATACTGGCTATAAGCAAAGATGGTGGATAGAAATCTGTATTTCATGACTCTTGAAATTTGGACAAAACTGTTGAACAAGGGTGTTTTTTTTTTTTAAAGATATAATACAGAGGTGAGATCTGGAGAGATGCAACCAGCAGCCACATTTTGGAAGCTGAAGGCAGATGGATGAGGGGTTACTGGCTTGACAAACTTAAGAAAAGAACCAGATGACCTTACTATGCCTAAGAATTCTCAGAAGACTCCAATCCAGGTGATACCAGTTATTCCTGGAACTAAGGTGAATGGCAGGTGGGCTAAGAGGATGACTGAGCACTGTATGAGGAGATTGACCCCTGGATGCCCTCCCCTGCCTCATTTTTCTGGCTGAAATCACTAGATTTTTTTTATAGAGAGACTAAAACAGGGTCTGCAGACTGAGGATGCCAGACTCAGCAGAGTGTATCATAGCAAAAACCAGTGAACAGACACAAACAAAACAAGGTATTATTATGTGGATATACGCATAATAAGTGTCAGACACAAGAACCCTTTGCCCTTCCTCCAATCTGCATTCTCTAGCACTGATTCTCGCCCTTTATTGCAGAGAACGGGCAATCTCACCAGCTCAGCAAAGTGCTAAAGGCACTTACACCAAAGGATCTTCCCCCAGTGGGCCCTCATGGTCCATCAGCCCCATCAATCAGTGTAAGTTTCATAAGCAGACAACCAAAGCTCACAGAGACAGACGCACACAGACAGAGCTAGAGACAGGCTGTGCTGGGAGAAGAAACTTCAAGAGATCAACCTGAGTATCTTCAGAGGAATCAGAGAAGATAATGTACCATGAAATTAGAAAGAATAACTTGAAAAGGAAGATTTGAGATAAGAACTGTTCATATAAACTAAAGATTAGAAGATAAAGTAGAGGAAAATGCTCGAAAATTATGAAAAAGCAGACTAAGGGCCTCCCCGGTGGTGCAGCAGGTTGAGCACAGCGCTGTGAAGCTGTCCACAGCCTCTGTAGTGCGGGTTCGATTCCCGGCCGGCCAGGGAGAAACCCACATGGCACAGCAGACCTCTCCTGTTTCCCTCTGCTCCCCTCAGCAGTGTGTTTCAGTCTGCCTGTTCTGTTCCCCACTCTGTCTCTGGTGAATCCTCTCACCCTCCCACACATCTGGCTTATACCCCGGCTCTTGTATAAATAAATATAAATCTTTTTTTTTAAAGCAGACTAAAACAAAAAACGAGGGGAAAAAAGTGAACAGTAGGTGTTCACCACACCCCAAAGAGAAGTTCTGTTTTGACACACTCCTGAGATTTCAAGATTAGCCATGAACAGAAATTGCAGAAAGTACAAACAAATATTTTAAATAGCATGCTTCCCTGACTATATTTTCTCTGGATTGTTTTCTCTGGCCCACCAGGTAGTCTTGCTAGATGCCCCAAGTTAAGTGAACCCAGCACTCAATCATAGCCTTGCCTTTGACTTCCCCAAAGACCCTGTAAACTCACAGGGAAAGAGAGGGCTTCGGATTCTGTACAGGTTTCTTCCCACTGGACCCTTCATCTAATTAGGGGAATATTAAGCTTATTGTCATAAGAAAATACTAATACATATATACAGTGGTTTTTCTGAGAACAAGAGAATGTTGTGCCACGGACAGGACAGCCGAGGAAGGTCTCTGCCATTAACGAAGACTCAGAGTATAAATGAATTTGCAATGAGGGGAGGCTGGGGAGAGGGCCATCAGAAGAGGCTCTGCCTTTTCACTCTCCCAGCCCAAACTTTTATTGAAGATATGAACAAAGGAAAAAGAAAATAGCACACAATTATGTTTTTGCTTATACAGATTAATAAGTTACTGCTGAAAATAAGCTTTCCTGGTTAGTGGGGAACATGTACACAAGCCAGTACATCCTCAGCGAGCAGGAGTCAATTCTGGGAAGAAGTTCTGTTTGCAGAACTTCTAACATCCTGGAACTCTGTATGCAGAGTAAACAGGTATTCTCCAAAAACTCCAGCTCCCTTTAGGGCAGCAGGCTCCCAACATGTTGTCCATAGACCATTGGTTGTCTGTTGTTGGAGGGAGGGGATTCACTTGGAAAAAGTCAGCCAGGGCATCCTAAAGTTCTGGAAATATTCTGTTTTTAAGCTAGTGGTTAAGTATATGCTGGTTCCTTTTACTTTAAATAATGCTCATACATTTTACATCCTGTGTTCACTCATGAATACTAGATATTGAATGAAAAATATTTGTAGAGGTCTTTGAAATGGAAATGAGATTTTTTTTAAAGTCCTCCATATTTTGCTAATGCCAATAAAAACCAGTTTTACTGCTTTGAGTAACTGTTCAGACTTACTTCGTGCGTCTTCACTGTGTGATCAGTATTTGCATAGCTTGAGTGTGCACATCTGGACTGAACAATCCAGATTATTAATGTGGAACATGCAGTGTATTAGTCTCTCAAGTCCAAATTTTAGCACAATTGACTGAATTGTTTTGTTTTTCCCCACTCCTTGAGAAGTTCCTTCTCCCCCTGGTGAAAATTAGTGCTTTGAACATTAACAATTAGAACCTGATTTAAGTGAGGTCAGAAGACTAGAAAGAGAGTGCTGGGGCATGTGTAAATCAGCAACAGAACCCATTATTGAGTTAAACATTGGTTTACAGCTCTATATATGATTTAGAAAAATAAACAAAATGCTAAAGATATAAAAAACAGTAATAAAATGGGGAGACCTCAAGTAGCAAAATGGGCAGACCCAATAAAATATTGCACTTGGAAATAGGGGACCTCACACCTTGTAGAAAGTGTAACCACCTGCCCCACCATCCAAGTTCTCATAGTCTCTTATAGACCATTGCACCCCTTCCCAACTTTGTCCCCACACCTACCATTCCTCTCCCTCTAGTAACCTCAATTCTGCAGTCATGTTTCTAGGGTTTATTTTGGCTTACTTTTGTCAGTAACATTTTTGGTGTTGATTTTTTTGTTTCTCTATGTTGTGCATATAAATGAAACCATTCATTTCTCCTTCTTACTTCATTTAGCATAGCCCCCTCCAGTTTCATGTTGTTGTAATGGCAAGAGTTTGGTTTTTTTTTAGTTGAGTATTATTACATCACATGTATCACATCTTCCTAATCCACTCCTCTGTTGTTCAGCACGTAGGTTGTTTCCATAACTTCGCTATTATAAATAGTGCTGCAATGAATACGAGAGTGTATGTATCCTTCAGAATTAGTGATTTTTGTATTCTTTGTGTACATATCTTGGAGTGGAATTGCCAGATCATATGGTAGATTTATCTTTAATATTTTCAGGAACCTCCATTTTTGCGTTGCATAGGGACCGGGCCAATTTACATCTGACCAACAGAGTATAAGGGTTCCTTTTTCTCCACATCCCTTCCATTACTTGTCCTTTCAGTGTTCATATGAGCCATTCTCACAGAAGTGAGATGGTATCTCATTGTGATTTTGATTTGCATCCCCATGATAAAAAAGTGATGTTGAACATTTTTTTTCTCATGCCTGTTGGCCACCTGTATGTCTTCTTTGGAGAAGCATCTATTTAGCTCTTCTGCAACTTTTTTTTTTATTGCATCCTTTGTTTTCTTTTTGCTGAATGTACATGTCCTTGGAGATCTTGAATATCACACCCTTGTCAGGTGTACAGTGTGCAATTTTCTCCCATTCAGTAGGGGATCTTTTGTTTTAATAATAATTTCCTTTGCTGTACATAAACTTTTTAGCTTAATATAATCCCATTCATTTATTTTAGCTTTTGTTTTCTTTGCTGTTGGAGTTGAGTCCTCAACGACATCCCGGAAGCCAGTGTCATGAAGTGTTTTGCCTATTTTCTTCTATGTATTTCTTCATTATAACCATTCTGAAGTCTTTATCTGATTATGAGATACAATCTTTAATCATTTGGTGTTTGGATCCTGGAGGATGGTTTTCACCTTGTGATGTGATAGTTTTCAGAGGTCCCATATTTCCAAGTATAATACATTTTTGTGTCTCCCTATTTTGCTACTTGAGGTTTCCCCATCTTATTATTGTTTTAAAATATCTTCAGCATTTTGTTTTTTGGTCATTTATTTGTTTACTTATTTATGCCTTTTCTGGCTTCTGTATATTCTCAGATCTGTTTTGTAATTGCTGAGTTAGCAGGCTGGGGAGGGGTTTGGAGGGAGCCAGATGTTGGTGTGGTTGAGTTGGACTGGAACTAGGCATACTTGTGGCTCTCCCAATATCCCTTTGTATCATCAGCCCTTGTGCCTTTCAGTACTCCTCACAGTAGATGCCAGCCCCGGGAGCAGCAAGTGGGAGTGTAGATCAGACCACCTGCTCTGCTGTTATCTTTGCTGCAGTGCCGGTCTATGTAGAATACCCCTGCTCCTCCACAGGTTTCCCCCCTTCAAAGGAGTGTGTCTCCACACAACCTCTGCTTCCCTCTCCCCTGTGTCTTTGGCTGATCTGGTTGCCCTGTCACCAGTGTCCCTCACTTGAGACCACAGCCTGCAGCCCCAGCTTCCTTTCTCCACCACCTTCTGTTCAGTGTAGGATCTGTCTCAATGTTCACTCTATTGAAGTCTGCATTTGGAATTTACTAAGGTATAATCAATCCGACTCCTATCTGAAAGGTTGTCTGTTCACCCAGTGTCCCTCAGGTGTCTGCTCCAAGAGCTCTAGCCCATAAGGATCAGGCCTGTGGTTGCTTCCACCAGGATCCATCTTGTCTGCTCCCTTTGGCAAGGCCCAATTCACCGCTGCCAGGACCTGCCAGACTAGGTTGCTTCTAGGACCCTCCTGGGGGCTCTGTAGGGTACATGGGGACCTATTTCTGTGGGCCTTTCGTGGTCCCATCCAGGGCTTGCTGAGGTATCCCAGTGTGTCCCTTGATGAGGGCTACGTCCAGGCCCTGATGGACTTGCTGAGATCTTGAATGCCTATTGTGGCAGGTCTGTTTCTGGATCCCATCCCAAAGCTCAGCGAGGAGGTACCAATGTCTGGCAAAACCTGATATGTCTCCAGGCCCATTCCTAGGGCTCACAGAGGCTGCGCTGATGTCTCAGAAGCCTGCCAAGGCTGGTGGGCCTCAGATCCCTTCTCTGGGCTCACCAAGCCTGCCTCGGCACATGGATTTCATAATTTCTTATTTAAACTCTGACAGCTCTGTTATCACTTATAATTTTTACCTTACACCTAGTCTTTAGAGAAGAACTCTTAGATGTATTAGACCTTGACTTTTATTATATATATT